TAAGAAAGTACAGAGAGTAGGTAGGAAAATGAAAACCAAATGAAACTACAGAGATGGAAATAGAATGAAAAATTGCTTAAGAAAAGAGTAAATTTGAAAGGTGCAAACATTTCTAATGATTATGATTATATGTTACGAAGTAGCAAGTTTCAAGTAGACTTAAGAAAAATATCAAAGCAGTGGGGGGGGGGGGAGAAAATATACATAGACGATTTGGAATATATACTGAATTACTTGAATAAAGAGTAAAGAGGAAGGAAGAGAAAGACGAAGGATAAAGAAGTAAATTACAGGAAGGAAAAGGAGGTTACAAAAGAAACTGGGAAAAAAGATAATAAGAATGTGTAACATAATAGGAATAAAAAGTAATAGCGTATAATCTTGGAAGTATTAGGAGAATGTGATATCGTGAGTTTGGTAGAAACTTGAATAAAGAGAAAAATTGGGATAAAATATAGAAAACGCTTCCAGATATTTTTAATTGGACATGTAGAAATTCAATGTGTGGGGAAAAAGGAAGAGCAGGTGGAGGGATAAATGTCAGAAGAAGGAAGAATATAGCTTTGTCAATGGCAGTGAAAAAGAAGCACAAAACAAAGTTTATACATCTTAAATTGTGAAACAGAAATGAAGAAACGTGGAAGATAATCGTAGATATGGTTTTGACATTAAAAGAAATCAAACAAGTGCAACCAGGAGAGCAATGCAAAGAAAAACAATGAATAACAATAAGATACTTTATGGTAGAACAGGAAAGGAAGAAGATTGACGAGAAAAAGGTGGTTTAAAACGAAGAAGAAAAGAAAAAATATGAGTCTGTAACACAGAAGAGAAAAACTATTAAATTGAATGGAAGACAATGATTTATAGATTTTAATGGCAGTAGAATAGGAGATGAAGATGGGAAAATATAACGTATATAAAAATAGATGAAAATCAGTGATTGCTATGCAACTGTGAATTTAGAAGAAAATAGACAGAGAGTATCTTTTAAGCTAACAACCATAAAATAACATTGACAATGCAGATAGGGAGAATTGTAAAGAAAAAATAGACAGTTGGTAAAAAAAGGTTTACGGGTGGAAATATGAAGACATGAAAAGCTAAAAATAGATATGTTAAATGGAGAAAATATAAGAAAGTATGAGAAAAGTGGTGGATAAAATTTAAAATAGAAATACAGAAAATGTGAAAGTGATAATATCTTGGGAACAACAGATACAAAAAATACTAACATATTAAGATAAAGAAAGTAGAAAAACAAAAGATGTTATGTGTTTAGCTGAGACAAGCTAGAACGGGTACGGAAGGAAAAGAAGTAAGAGATTTTGAACTTTTATAGAAAAGGAAAATATGAAAATGTTTTGGGACAATTAGAAAGAAACATAGATGGAGATGGAAGAACAAGAACTGAGCAGATGAAGAGAGAACAATATTTGTGGAAACATGCAAATCGAGATTGAAAAATCCTCACATATCAAGATAGAAGAATAAAAAGAGTATTTTATTGATAAAAGGTAATGGTAAAACATATGGAGACGAGGTTAAAAACCAAAGACAGGAAGAAGTTCTTCAAAGAATAAAGAATTATCTAAAAAAAGATGGATAAAATAATTTACATTAGATGATGTTAAGAACTCTACAAAGAAAAGAGGTGTAAATATACAGATAAGAAGTTATAAAATCATGACAAAGAGTGAAGAACAGAGGAAGAAATCGACAAGCAAAAACCGAGAGAATCATTTCAAAGAGCGAAAAACAGAGGTGGAAATGCACATGTGATAAAATCATGACAAATACTGAACAACGGATGTGAGAATCTACTAGTAAGAATCTATAACATAATGAACATGTTGAAAAATGGAACTGAAGATATTCAGGAAAGAATCGATAAAATCATGACCTAAAGTGAAGAATGAGGTGAAAATCTAAAGATAAAAATCGGGAAAATTATGATAAAAAACGAAAAACACAGGTGAAAAAGATAACCAAGCAAATCATCACACAAAATAAAAAAGGGAGTTTTGTTTGTAATTAAGCACAAAGTT